TTCAGTGGAGGAGACTGGATTTATGAAAGCAGCTTAGAGTAAGCACAGCGTGAGGCAAGGACTGCAGCCTCGTGCTCCCGATATGCTCTGTGAGGGCTCACTCGCACACTGTTTTTCAATAGTAGTACTTTTAAAAAGAAGAGAAGCCAGGTGTCTTGGTTCATTCACGTTAAGACCCAGCTATTCAAAGGCTGTGGCAGAAAGATGGCTTGAGCCCTGGAGTTTGGGGCCAGCCTGGGCAGCATAGTAAGACCCTATCTCAAAAAGAAAAAGAAAACAAGGAGGAAAGAAGACCAACTTCAAGATGCTAAGATATTTAACCAGTTCAAATTTTTGATACCAAAGATAACTTCGCATCATCCTAAAAGAACATCCAGAACACTGATCCTAGGTTTTTCCATTGTACTTCCTGTGTCACTTTATTTTTTCAAACCAAATGTGTTAATAAATCAAATAATAGCTTTATCCTTTCCCATATAGATGTCCCTAAGTAGCATCATTGCCTTCTGTTTCAGAAACTCCAGTGCAACGAACTTAAAAGCTGATGCAGAATACAAAGGGAAGTTTCTGTCTTCATCTTCCTCAAAGGCAAAATTAATTCACTAATCCATCACCCTGAGAGCATGAATAAAACATATATGGCAACAAAGACATAAAGTGAAAATACTTTTCAGCAGGCAACAACAGCGGTGTGAGAAGGATAGCAGATAAATCAGGTTCAAAAACACACAGGCTACCAGGAGGTGGTGACACGTGGAGCCTGCGTGCCTCCTCAGATCCAGCACAATTGTGTGTCACAGTAGAGGAGTGGCTGCAGGCAGGATGCCCATCTTACCTACCGGCTCGTGGCTCACTCCTCTCAGATGCGAATTATCTGTTACCAAGGGGCCCCACTTCATCTAAGACTCTGTTGTGAGACTTCATGTTCTGGGAAAGCAGGATTGCTTTTCTTCACTGTGCCTCTGGCTAGGATTCACTCTGTCACCCTTCTCTTCACATCCAGATTTCTCCTTTTCTTCAAAGAAGCCAGCTTTTGTGCACACTCTTCCTTTGTTTTATTACTTGCTTATGGCTGCCATAGCAACACACAATAACATGAATGCAGTGGTTTAAAACAGCAGAAATGCATTCTCTCCTGGGTCTGCAGATCTTGGCAGAGTGGATTCCTTCTGGAGGCTCTAAGGGAAAATCTATTCCCTGCTTCTCTCCTAGAGTCTGATGTTTGCCTTGGCTTTCATTAGCTTATAGATACATCACTTCAGCTCCCTCTGTCTTCACATGACCTTCTAAGAATGCCAGTCATTGGATTTAATGCCCACCCTAGACCAGCATGACCTAAACTTAACCAACTACATCCACAAAGACACTATTTCCAGATAAGATCACATTCTGAAGTTCTGGTGGACATGAATATGAAGGGTTCTCTAGATGACACGTGCAGGAGGAGAGTCCACAGTCATCATTTCTTCTTTTTAGGAATCCCATATAACCCCAATCAGCAATTATCCATTACCCATATGCTCTGTCCCGCTGCAGTCTAACTCCTGAATGTATAATCCCAAACATATTTTAAGCTCCACAAGTGTGGAAACTATCCCCTAACATCTCCATTTTCTAATCACCAAAAGGCACAAGTCTTCTCTCAAAAAATACTTCTGGAATAGAAGCAAATTAGCCATAGCTAAGCAAGAACTCAGAGCTTATAATTTGAATTCACTTTTTCTCCAGTTTGGCTGTGGTTGCCTCCTGTGCCCCTCCCAAAGGATTTAAACCCTATTGCCTTCATAATTCTTTTCCAGCCAGTCAGAAGGTGTGGTTTTCCCTTGTCACAGAAGTCATTTTAAGGCAGCCATGCATGTGTTTCAGCGCACGTGACACCTGCCAATGCCTGCCTGGGCCATCACACCTGAGCTGGCTTATACATATCTTAACCAAGCTGCATGAGCCTCTATTTCAAACCTAACCACTGTACAAGTTATCCCTAACTTTAACTAATTGTCCTACAGTAATTTGCAAATGAGATGTTATCACTAAGGAGACATTTTGACATGGCCGAAGACAGCTTGCATTGTCATCACTGGGTGGAAGGCTCTATTGGCCTCTAGAGAGTTCAGGCCAGGGAGACTGCTAAACATTCTACTGTGCATGAAGCAACCCCCTTGCAAAGAAAGGATTATCCAGCCCAAAATGCCAAAACTGTTCACAAACCCTGCTGTAGATTATACTGCATTTGATTTTTCATTCTCATTTTTAGACACATTTCTGTTCCATTGGACTATGGAGCACAGACTCATCAATGAAAACAAATGTTTCTTCCTTTCCACCATTTCCTCCACCCATCAGCATTTTAATTTTTCCCTTAATTGCTTTTCTTCTTCATGAAATTTTAATATTTTAGATATATGCCTGTTTTTCTATCAAAACGTCTTTTATGCACTCTGGTGAAACACCATCAATATAGTTACTAGATGATAAAATATTTTAGTAGGGAATAAGGTAATCTTTTATGTATCATTATAAAGAGATTTCTTTTTAATTGTGGATCTAAGGTGTAGTTCAGTGGTAGAGCACTTGCCTAGCATGTGTGAGGCCCTGGGTTGAATCCCCAGTACCGCTAAAAAGAAAAAGTGGCAAATACATCTAATGGAAATTTTATAGTCTAAACCATGTTTAAGGGTGTAAGTTCAGTGGCATTCAACACACTCACATTATTATACAACCATCACCACTATCTATCTTCAGAACTCTTTGTGGCACAAGACTGAAATGATATGCCCATTAAACAATAGCTCCTCATTCCCCACTCCTCCTGGCCCCTGACAACCACCATTCTACATTCAGCTTCTTTGAATCTGACTTCTCTCGGTGTCTCACAGATAGAATCACGCAGCATATATCTCTGGTAACTGGCTTCTTTAACTTAGCATAAACCTCCAAGGCCCAGCTATGTTGTAGCATGTGTCTGATTTTCTTTCATTTTTAAGGTTGGACAATCTACTGCACATGTACTATATTTTATTTCTCTACTCATTTTTCTTTATGTCATTCAGCTACTGCTAACATTTTGATTGTTAATAATGATTAATAATGTTAATAATTATGAACATACATGGACAGATATCTCCTTGACATCCTGCTTTCAACTCTTTTAGGTCCAGAAGTGGAATTGCTGGGTCATGTGATCATTCATTTTAAATTTTTTGAGGAACCATCGGTCTGTTTTCAGTAGGGGCTGCATCATTTGTACATTTCTATTATCACTGCACAGCTATTTGAATTTCTCTGTATCATCAACATTTAATACTTTTCTCAATAGTGGCCATGCTGAAAGGATATGAAGTGATATCTGTCAGTGGTTTTGATTTGCATTTCACTAGTGCTCAGTGATACTGGACATCTTTTCATATGCTCACTAATCATTTGTTATGCCTTCTTTGAAGAAATGTATATTCAGGGCTCTTGCTCATATTTTAATTGGGTTGTTTGTTGTGGAATTTCAGTTTTTTAAAATATGTTAAGGATCTTACCAACTTACCAGATATAGTATTTGTAAATACCTTTTCCCTCTTCGTGGATTGCTTGCCCATGCTGTGATTTTGTCCTTTGACACACAAATTTTAATTTTCATGTGGTCCACTGTCTGGTTTTTCTTGTGTTGTCTGTGATTTGGCTTGTTGTTATAAACAAGAAATCATTGCCAAATTCAGTATCAGAAAATTTTAAAGACTTTATTTTTATTGTTTTAGCTTTTATGTTTAGATCTTTGAGTTGATTTTTGTATCTAGAGTGTGTAGGCAACAAATAACTAGTTTTTCCAAACTATTTTCCCAAAGAGCATTCTTTTCCCACTGAATGATCTTGGTACCCTTTTTGAAAATTATGTGATGGTATATGGAATGACTCTGGCTTATAAACAGTTTTAAAATATAAATTGAACTGCTGTGTTTCTTTTTAAAGTATCTATGAAAAGTATCTCTGAAAAGTTTTTAGTGTTTACTTTTTATTATGAGAATTTACAGTCAGGAATTTTTTATGTTTTTTGGTGAAGATTGTTATACCCTCCCCCTCAAAAACTAATGATTTCTCCATTGAAAATGCATAAACTCTAACCAATAACATTGCAACTGCCAGGGACGTAGCTGGGGGGGGGGGTCAGGAATGTGCTTAGCATGTGTAAAGTCTGGGTTCAAGCCCAGGACCAAAAAATAAATAAGTGAATGCATGAATAAAGTTGTGATTAAGAGAGACAAGGTTGTTTAAACAAATATTGAACACATTTGGTCATAATAGGGCTGTTACAGTATTGTTTATTTGTATCATATCATTTCCCCCAATTACTTTTAATTCTGATCATTGTTCATGTGACCTGGCCCCCCATGATAAGCCCTTGAAGGACTGTGCTCAGCAAAGCCAAAAAGGCAGCATGCGGGACAGCCAGCCAAAACCCCAGAGCAGGGAGAAGACAGAACTTCACGGCCACCGACTGTGGTCACCTGATCTAAAAATATTGGCCAAGTCAGGCTCCACTCAGGCTGGAGACGGACTTTGCACTTTTCCAGGTGTATTCCTTGGTGCAGTGCATGCAGATGGCACTGTGGAAAGTTAAAGATTAGTCTTTTAATGTATTCTACTCCAGGAGCAAACATCAAAAAAATGTACTAGCAAGCCTGAAGCCTCCTTAGCACGGTCTTAACACCAGTCAGGATTTTGTTGATTTTCAGAGCGGCAGATGAAAGAAGAAGAGGAAGCAGCCACCCGGGCAATGATTTTCAAACTCTCCTTCTGACATGATAAAAATGAGCAATGGGCATTCCTAGGGATTATTATTTATTCACCATGTGGCATCACAAATCACAATATCTCAATCACTTTTTGTAGTTCTTTGTGGTGAAGTATTATGACAGGAAATAAATATAAATAGGAAGAAGAAATCATTGCCAAATGCAATATCAGAAAGTTTTAAAGACTTTATTTTTTATTTTTTTAGCGTTTATGCTTGGGTCTTTGAGTTGATTTTTGTATCTAGAGTGTGCAGGCAAATAAACAGTTTTTCCAAACTATTTTCCCAAGAGGCATTCTTTTCCCACTGAATGATCCTGGTACCCTTGTTGAAAATTATGTGATCACATACGGAAGGCCTACAGGAGAGCAAACAGGTGTTTTAGTAGGAAAAAAACTAATGCTTCATGCAAGATTAGAAATGGCACTTGAGTGTAGAATTTACTCCTGTGTTTCTTTTGAGATTATTTGAATGCCTCTTTGATGTTTTGCTTTGCTTTTAAGAATTTGAAGCCAGGCATGATGGTACACACCTATAATCCCAGCACTCTGGAGGCTAAGGCAGGAGGATCACCTCGAGTTTGAGGCCAGCTACACAGTGAGCTCACAGCCAGCCTGACCTACAAAGCAAGACCCTGTCTCAAAAGAAAACAAAACAAAACAAGAATGTGTATGACCTTAACTTGACCCACCTATTCACCTTCTATCTTCCCAAAACAATTAAAGACTTCGTATTATAGTGATACATGCACATCTGTGTTACTAGCACAACTCATAATAGCTAAATCTTGAGAGTGTCCCAAATGTCTATCAACAGATGAATGGGTAAAAAAACTGTGGCATTAAACACAATGGAGTACTACTGTGCCATAAAGAAGGACATGTTTGACTCATGTGTATGAACATGGATACACCTTGAGACAATCACATTAAGTAAAATCAGACATATGAGCTTAAATATCATATGGTTTCTCTTATAAGAGAAACCCAAAATACAAATAGATCAAAGAGCAAAATAAGAGATAGATAATAGGAAACAGGGAGACAGAACTTTTGCAAATGTGAAGGGAATGGAGGGGAGAAGGAGGCGAGGGGAAGGGGAAGTAAAAAGAATTAAGATGTATTATGTCCATGAACTAACTCGTCATGATGAATGTAATCATTATGTACTGCAAACATGTACCAATTTAAAAAAAAAAATACCAAACTAGCCAGGCACGGCGGCACATGCCTGTAATTGCAGCACTTGGGAGTCTGAGGCAGGAGGATCACTGTGAGTTCCAGGCCAGCCTGGGTCACACCGTGGTGTTCAAGACCAGCCTGAGCTACATAGCGAGACACTGTCTCAGAGAAGCAAACCAAAACAAAAAGATAACTAACATCACTGGGCCTGATTTATATTATGTCTGTAAAATTATGGAGAGAGAAAAAACCTCTAGTATTCCTCCTAGTTCAAAAATCTATTATTCTAGTTGTCTTCATATAAATTACTCTAGACAGTTTCATAATTGGAAACTAGAACCAACAATATTTGACATTGAGAAGTATTACGAGCTAGAAATAGGATATCTCTTACATTATGAGACATACCCTAAAGGGTGAATCTTGTAAGCATTCTTTTTTTAAACTTCTGAGTTTTTTTTCAATAATTAACAAGTATTTAAGTAAACTTTGTATGCTGTTACCTTTTATTACTGGTAACATATGGGAAAATGCAAAATCAAGAAAACCACTATATTTTATAACACAGTGCTTATAATGTATCCTCTTGAAATGTCACTGTGGAATTTGGACCACCTTAGCAGTTAGACAAAGATGTCCTTCCTCTGACAAGAGGAAGCTCATGATGGATCTGAAGACCCCAGTGCTAAGTGAAGTGAACCAGATGTGGAAGGATAAATCTCACATATTGGAAAGCCGAACAGAAAGAGAGCGAAACAAAAGAGAGAGAGTAGAGACAGGAAGGTAGATGTTGTGGAGATCTGAGGGAGGATAGAGAGGGGAAGGAGAAGAGGAAGCAAAACTTATCATGATGCAATATGTGTACGTACCAGCTCCCCAAGATGAATGTAATTACTGTGTGTTGCAAAGATATACCAACAGTTAAAATAATAACAATAACAAAAAATAAAAAGGCCAAACTCATGTTATATGTGTGGGAATACATAAACTATACCTATGAATATTCAAAAAAGCATAATAATGATAAATAAAGTCTAATATGAAATAAATACATATTTATGTAATACAAAATATCTAATATGTATCTAAATATCTATATATAAAAGTCACTATTCTGAATCAGAGAACAAGATTGTTACATAACTTTTGAGGGGGGGATGGAACATAGCACTTCTTGACTGCTGGCAAGTGCTCTGCCACTGAGCTACATCCCCAGCCCAAAATCTTTTTAATGTAAAAAAGTATCACACACATTTTCCCCTTAGTTGGGAGAGTACTGAATAATAGAACAAGAATTGACTTTAAAACAGAAAAAAAATCTAGATCTGTATATTTTAATGGGGAATTACAATTCTGAAAGCATAATTATAAAAATGGTATGCATGAGATTAATACAGTAATGGTGATTTAATCCTTTCTAGTTTCATTGAATCTTTTTTTTTTTTGATACTGGGGATCAAATTCAGGACCTTCCACTTGCAAGGCAGATGGCAGCACCATTGAGCTCTTCAGTAAATCTTTTCTGCTAAGATTTCTGAGCTAATATATGAAGGGAGAATCAATGATATACTCATTTGTTTTTCAATTTCACCTCATTCATAAAACAGTAATGGCTGCCACACATACATACAGTGTGGCAGGGTAAAAATAGGGAAGGAAAGAAAAGATACAACACTTGAATTTAGCCAAAAGGCCAAGAGGCATTGGAAAGAAAAGCAGAAAAGAGTAAGAGGTGAGCACAATAGGAGTTAATACAACAGACAGTATTAGTGCCACTTGACTTTTATAATATCTCCAATCTGGGACAGAACAATAAAACAGAGTCCAGAGAAAGCAATTCTGCAAGGGGCTAACATTAAAGCATTATCAAGATTGTTCAAGTCAGGGCTCTCCAGAGAAACAGGATCAGTGGGTGATACACCTACATGCCCCCCACACAAATGTACACATAAATGGAGGGGAGCATTTGTTATGACACACAGGCTCTTTTTTTTTTTTTTTTTTTTTTTTTTTGTACCAGGGATCGAACTTGGGACCTTCCACTTTTGAGGTAGGCAGCAGAACCACTGAGCTAAATCTCCAGCCCCCAGGCTCCTGTGTTTATGGTGTCTGGCAAGTCCAAAATCTGCTATGTGGACAGCAGACTTGGGATCCAGAAGAGCCAATATTTCAGATCCATCTCAAAGAGGGGCAGGCAAGAGGTCCAGAAGCCCATGGTGCAGATGAAGTCTGACAGTAGATTGCTGTGGGATTTTCCATTGTTTACTGTTCAATTCAGGCCTTCAGCTGATAAGAAAAGGCCCACCCACCTTGTGGAGGGCAATCTGCTTTTAGGTTCACTAATTTAAATATTAATCTCATCTCAAAACATCCTTAAGGCTGAGACACAAAATGAATCTCAACAAGGATATAATACTAAGTGGCACCTGAGAGCATTGGTTTCTGAACCAGTGGCCATGTCTGCAGATAAAGTAGGTTTTTCACAGACCGCCAACAGGCTCCCTGACAGACAGGGCAGTAGTAAGTACTGCTGCTGAATATTTGCTGTTTGATTGTATTTTGTTTCTTCTTCGTTAACACCAATTTCTGAGTTAAGATTATTCCCATACAGGCATTGTGGAACATGCCTGTAGTTCCAGCTACTCTGGAGGCTAAAGCAGCATGATCTCTTGAGCCCAGGAATTTGAGACTACTCTGGGCAACATAGGCAGAACTTATCTCAAACCAAACAAAACAAACACAAAAATGTGGTGACATGTCCGTAACTGCAGGGGAGGCAGAGGCTGGAGGATCATAACTTCAAGGTTAGCCTGGGCACTATAGCAAGTCTGAGTCAGAGACAGAGAAACACTATTCTTACAAAAAAGAAAAAAATGTATTAAAGCAAGGATCATGTTTTCATATCTTTTTGTATTTTCATGTCTTTAGCTGTAGATCAGAGCATGGCATTCAGACAAGTCTTGACATGAAGTCTAGGAGAAATTTTGTAATTGCTTCACTACTATTTGATAACATAAGCTACTTTTTTACTATAAGCATCTCTATTATCTAATAGAAGGAAATATATTTCCACTAAAGCACTTTGAAATTCCTGGAAGAAAATGTGTTCTAGCACATGCCCAGAAGCACGTTGGCACTTACTCACAAACACAACATTTACTGGACAAAAAATTCCTACTGATATTATATCTAAAAGCAAAAATAAGACCAGGCTTGGTGTGCATGCCTATAATCCCAGCGCTTCAGAAGCCAAGGCAGGAGGATTGCTGCGAGTTTGAGGTCATCCTGGGCTATATAGTGAGTTTGAGGCCAGCCTGAAGTACATAGCAAGAATACAAGAAAAATAAGAATACAGATACAACATTGTCAAGGGTAAAAATCATTTTTCTCCTGGACAACCTCTTTTCTATGAAGTCTTTACTAAGAACAGAATCTGATATTTTCTTTCAACCTTGAATCCTCTATTTTTACTGCGGTGTTCATTAGATGAATTGCTAGACACAGGGTGTGGTGGTGCACCGCCTATAATCCCAGCACTCTGGGAGGCTGAGGCAGGAGGATCGAAGTTTGAGATCAGCCTGGGCTACATAGTGAGTTCCAGTTCAGTGTCAACTACATAGTGAGACCCTGTCTCAAAAACAAGAACAAAAACAAAACCAGATGAATTGCTAGATGAATTGAGCCACAATTGTGAAAAAAAAAATTGTTACTTGCATCACTAAATTAACTAGGTGTCTGTATGAAGTTCAGGTAGTCCTGATTCATTCACTGATTCCCCATGGATTTTCTGCGTACTGGGCAAGGGTTGAGAGATATAGTGTGAGAGGCAGACCTCGACCTTTGGGAGGTCAGGATTTTCCGTCCACTGATTATGCTCAGCCTCCTTTGCCTCTAGTCAAGTCTTTGTTGGCTGTAACAGGCACATACCTTTCAGTTTCATCTGCAGGGCTGTCTCTGCCTCATCCTAACTTCCCTTTCCCAGGAATCCCTCTCCTGCATGTCTGTACATCCAGGTCCCCTTGGCTCTTGCGGCCCCTGCCCATCTGCCTCTTACGAGCTGCTCCCTGGCCTTCTCCACCCCACAGTAAGGGGTGATGTCTCCCATCTCTACACTCCGTATGCTTCTGGAGCATCTCAGTTCTCTTTGATGGCATCAAGAACTCCCCTTCTAGGCTGCTAATGACCCAGAACAGGGTTCAAGACTGCATATCCCTCTTGTCGTATCCCTCACAGCCCCCTACATACATGAAATGCTACTTATAGAACAAATGAATTAATGAATTTCAGGAAAATATTTAACTTCATTTAGTCTGATTTTGATAACTAAGCTGGGGTACAAGCACCAACATGTCAGTTCTGTAAACGTTTGCGATGACATTTTTGTCCTATTTTTCCTTAAATACTAAAGGACCCCATTAACTGTATCTGAAGTCTTATACAGGAGTCTAGCTCCATGACCTTGAATTTAAAGGATGTGAAGCATCCTTTTTCTGCCTGCCTTCCTCAGACACAAGCAGTCTTCAGGCAGATCCTTGTCCTCTTCTTGTGCAGAAATCTGTCCTTCCCTTATATCTCAAGCCAACTCCCTCTCTGATGCTCTCCAGGCCACCCCGTGATCTCTTCACAGACCTGCCCCGCCTCTCTGTTCCTCCAGGCTTCTTTCACATCCAGACACTCCGAGTCACAGTCACACCTCTCCCCAAGTCCATGAGGTCTTGCGTTACTTTGCTCCTATTCCTCTTCTTCAGAGTATTCCTCCTTTTCCTGCTTCCTAAAAACACTCTCAGCCTCCACAGTTCAATTTACTGCCTTCCTTGAGCACCCCTCCCTGGCCTCCCTGGTGAGGGCTTTCCTCCCATGTCCTGTAACCCACAACTCTTTCAAAGCATCTTTAGGGCTGCCCTCACATCTTACTGATCAGCCCCAGGAGGACGTCAGTTAGTTGCATCAGGTGGTGATGGTGTCTGACTCACTTCTGTAACTTGAAAGCTTTTTAAGCATCATGGGTCAGCTTCGGACTCTGCTCTCAGTTCTGGCTTTGAATCCTACCTCCAGCACTTACTACTTGTGTGACCTTGGACAGGTCACTAGCCCTTTCTACCCTTCGGTGTAGTTGGTGACAATAACATAATACTCGTCTCAGCAGGAGGCAGTGGCGCTGGAGCTGATGTATATAAAGCACTGCTGCTCACATCTGTCACACAGTGGCAAGGTGATCATTACAGAGGGCGAGAATTCATACCCCCTCTGGTCTGCCACAGTAGGTACTTGGACACGTGCGTGGAATGAGTGAGAAACAGGATTATGAGTCCAGCATGTTGTAGCAACTGCATCTCCTTAAACAGGAAGCTAAAGAGCATCCTTTCCTCTTGTGTAGAGTCAGAAGCCAGAATAAGGTTGAAGGTGAGATGATCTTGCCAAGGGGATACAAATAGATGAAAGTATTGTACCATTTAATCCCCCCTGCGTTCACAGAGAAACCTATTCTAAAGTAAAACTCCTTTTTTAAAAAAGACAGTGAAGATCTTTCAGACTTACCCTCTTGATCCCTCTCGATCCTGTTGTCTTATCTGCTTTCAGAATTACATTTGAACATAGCAAAAATTAGACAAATTTAGGAACAAGCTAGAGTCTTCATGATGCTTGGTATTGTTAATACTAGTGTGGGTTTTTCTTAAGGCATCACTGCACATGTGGATCAGACCCACAGCTTTTATGCTCCTGTGATTTGCAAATTTGATATGTAACTAATATATTGCATTTTCATTCAGATATTCATTTTGTCATAGGATATGCATGCTGATTGTTTATGACTTATTTTTAATGTCTTTACACTAGCTGCCAATCACTTCCCCACACTTGATAGTTTCAGTGAGGCAGTTTAAATTTTGATTCATGACTTTGAAAAACTGTTTACATTGTAATTCAGTTATACTAGAAAAATCTGTGATGGTTAAACTGTTGTATTAAAAGTTTCAAGATACTCAGTTACTGGGGACTGGGAGTAGAGCTCAGTCGTAAGAGCCCCTGTCTAGCTTGTGTGACGTCCTGGGTTCGATCCTCAGTCCACACACACACACACACACACACACATGCACTAGAGACTGGTTAGCTATAGCTTCGCCTTCATTACTTTAAGTATAAATAATAATTCTAAATATAGGTACATGCGCATTTGAAATATCAGAAAGAGCTGCTATGGCAGCAGCAAGAACACTAGTAGTCAATATTTTTAAGCATTTAGCATGTCTTTTGTATATATAAATGCTTCTTTACTTAATATGTATGGCTGGAAACAGCTATAAGAAGGGAATCCTGGAGGACTCAGCTTAGTCTTTGGGAAGTCACAGTGGAAGGAGATGTGAAGAAGCCAGCCACAATGGTCTCCTGCAACAGTTACAGTTTCTAGGTATTTATACAGATATTGAATGTTTATAAAGCAGCTATTAATTTGGATAGCTGTGGCATTACAGTTATCCTCGCTCTGCTGATGAACGTCCAGTACGCAGTGTGCCGTATGAGGGGAGGCATCCTTGAGTTAGATAAGATAGTACATGCAAATCACCTGGTTTACAGACATCTTAGCTGTTATCATTGTGTCAGTTTTCTGTCACTATGACAACAATGCGATAGCAATGTAAAAGCAGGATAAAGCCAGGAGTGGTGATGCACGCCTGTGATCCAGCATTCAAGGAGGCTGAGACAGGAGGATAGCAAGTTCAACCCCAGCCTGGGCAACTTAGTGACATAGTGAGAACCTGTCTCAAAATACTACAGAGCTTTTGGTGTTTGGGTCTCTGATGAGGCAATAATCATGGAAGCAAAGAGAGACAGAGGAGGAGCTGAGGTCTCAAAACACTTAAAGTCACAACCCAGTGACCCATACCTCCAGCCATGCCCCACCGCCACGCAGAGCTCCCACTTCCTCCCAATATCATCACAGGCTGGTGAGCAGCTGTCAACACAGGAAAGTTTAGGGGACAGTTAATCATCATTCATGTTATGGTCAATGGCGTCTCACTCACCCCAGCTTCCCTACGAATATAGGCTTCCACTCTAGGGTATCGAAAATTAAATGGATTTTCTGATTTGGAGACCAGCAGTAGGTCGGGAAGTCCTGCTGCCACTGTCTATTGCATTTAGAAATCAAAATGTGAAAAGGAAGTCAGTGTGGTAGATCCTGGGTGAATTAGGATGCATTCTCAGCCTCCCTCCATCCTTCCCTGCCTTCCTTCCTCTCTCTTTTCCTTTCTCCCTTCCTTTCTTGTACTAGGGGTTAAACCAAGGGCCTTCACACTAAGCTACATCACCAGCACCTTTTTATTATTTTTAGTTTGAGATAGGGGACTCACTGAGTTGTCCTGGCTAGGCTCAAACTTTTCATTCTCCTGCCTCAGCCTCACAGAGTTCTGGGATTACAGATGTGCAGCACAAAGCCTGGCCCATTCCACTTCTTCAAGCATTTGGGCTTGAAAGGTTCCAGAAGGCATGGCAAAACCACTCATTTTAATGCCTAGATTTCCTGTGTGAACCTACTGCCTGCAAAAGGAAAGAAATTATAGGCTGCCTTGCCACTGCTTGATCTCTGCCAATAATGAATAGGCAGTTTTTATCAGCAGTTCTGTGCTGCCACTAGGCATAAGAAGATGAATTAAATGAATAACTTTGCCTTCCTTAAGTAAAGAAAGAACAACAGTAAAAGGGAAGTTTGGGGTTTGGTGGAGTAGACTCTGTTACCTGTCTCTCTTGCATCTAGTCACCTTTTCCTCCATATTTTATTCAAGTGTCCTCCTCTGGGGGATCTCTGGTCCTGAAGGTGGAGCTGAATGAGACTAATCCAATCATCACAATCCCACTCCTTGTTCTGTGATTGGTGGAGAAATCAAAATTAAACCAATCAGTGTGCATCATTGCTCTGGAGACAACTGTCAGGCTGGGATTGGGCAGAGGATCATTTATGAAGATAATTCAAGTGAAAGGAAGAACCTAAATTACACAGTTGATATTCTTTCTCTTCCCTCCCCACCCTGTAATACCTGAAGGAAAAGGTATGCCACTCTAGCTTTACCTGAGGTCTCCTGAGACAATCAGTGAAACATCTTGGGAAGGCCAAGAGGATAAAAGGCGCACAGCCCAGATTGCCGATGCCAGCTCCTGCCTTGCCTCACTTCTGTCCTATCCAGACAAACTATGATGTAAGGCTTATACCTAATTTAAGAATTTCTAGAAGTCATTTTTAAAAAGAATAAAAAGAAGCCTATCATTATAATTCATGCCACCTGCTGAAAATATTTGAACAAATATACAGCAATCTTTAAAAAGCACAAAGTTAGCGTGCTTATCGTGTCCACTTTACATGGCTATGACAAAATACCTGTGATAGCTTAGAGAAGGAAAGCTTCATTTTGGCCCATGGTCTGCCTGTTCCGTTACAGTGGGCCTGCAATTCAGTGGAGCATGTGGTGGAGGGGTGTGGTGGAGCAAAGCTGTTTCCCATGGCAGCTGGAAAGCAGGGAGTCAGGGAGGAGACAGAGAGGATGGGGCTGGGGACCATGTGTAGTTCTCAAGGTCCCACCCCACAGCGCTCTCCCTTCACTTGCACCCCAGCTCTGCTTCCCCTTCTTCAGTGGGTTAATCTGGTGATGACATTGGAGCCTGCCTGACCCAGTCTCCTTCCAAGAGCTCATTCTTGGAACAGATAAGTTTCTTGGGAGTTGTTCCAAATTCATGTGATAACTCATACTTCTTGATTTCAAAATGAACTAAAAAGTACAACAATCAGGAGCATCTCAGTGTTCACTGATGGATGATCACACAAAGAAAATGTGGCACACAGGAGAATGAAGTACCACTGGGGAGATCTTGCCCTTTGGAACAATATTCTGACCCAGGGGAACAGTGTGCTGCTAGTGAGACAAGCCAAATACGGGATGCACAGCAATGCACGATCTTGCTTACATGCACATTTTATTTTAAAGATCACATATATAGAAAGAGAATTGAACAGTGATTACGAGAGGCCACCAGCAGGTGTTGCTTTCCTGTCACTAGCACAAAATACCCTACACTGGAAACTCAAGGAGAGGTTTATTTTGGCTTACGGTTTTCAGAGGATTCACTCCATGGTCAGCTAGCTCCGAGGTAGAAATGGCCTGGTGAAAGGGCCTGACAGAAGAAAGTTGCTCAACCCATGACAGCCAGGAAGCAGAGAGAAAAGGAGGAAACTGAGGAGTGGCACCCCCAAAGGCACAACCCCCAGGGGCCACCTCTGCAACCGTGCCCCACCTCCTAACCGCATCTTTAGCTATAAACTCATCACTGGCTCAGCACTGAAGAGTGCAGCACCCCCATGATCGGATCACCTTCCCAGAATCCCGCCTCCTAATGCATGAGGTTTGTGAGGGCATTCTAATTCTAAAGCCCAGTATTCTACGGGGGAGGCCACAATGGAGAGATGAAGGTCAAAGGTACCAAGGTGCAGTTATGTGGGATGGGATGACCAAGTCTAGAGAACTAATGTATACCCTGAGGACTAGAGCTAATGATATTGTGTTCTATATAATAAGTCTACTACGAGAGTAGATTTTGGGTGCTCTTACCACATACACATAACATGAGAGCATAAACACATGTGAAACTATATGAGATGAGAAATACGTTAATTGGTTTTAACAATGCATGTGTACACCAAAACATCATGCTGTACACCAGAAATGGGTAGAATTTTTAGAAAAAGAATGTGCTACAGGATAAACACAGCCATAAACCAATGGAATAGAATTGAGAGTCCAGAAATAAAGCCATACATTTGTGGTCAACTGATTTGTGACAAGGGTGCCAAGACAATTCAACAGAAAAAGAATAGTGTGCTCAACAAAAAATGCTGAAACACCTGGATAGCCACATACAGGAGAGTGAAGTTAGATCTCTACCTCATACCTATATAACATGTAACTCAAAATGAATCAAATGCGTGGTACTTCGGTTCACGAACTTAATTCTTTCCACAATAGTGGTCAAATTCAGCTGGAACCAGAATTGTGGTATGAATTCTTTGCCCAGAATTGTGGAAAGGTTTTGGTTCATGAACCAAAGTACCATTGTACCTAAGAAAGTAAAAGCCAAAACTATAAAACTCATAGAAGAAACTATAGGAGTAAATTCTCATGACCTTGGGTAGGCAACAATCTTTCAGATGTGATAACAAATACAACAACAGCTAGAGAAAAAAAAAACAAACAACTTAGACTTCATAAAAATTAAATACTTTTGTGTATCAAGTACATTATTTAAAAAGTGGCACTCTAGACAACAGAAGAAAATATTTATAAACTGTTTCCTAAAAAATATCTAGTATTAGCCGGGCGTGGTGGTACATGCCTATAATCCCAGTACTCAGGAGGCTGAGGCAGGAGGATTGCTGTGAGTTCGAGACCAGCCTGTGCTACATAGTGAGTGCCAGGTGAGCCTTAACTACATAGTGAGACCCTGTCTCCAAAAACAAAACAAAAACAAAAACAAAAAAGTCTAGTACTTTTACAATAAAAAGAAAGTCCATTTTTTTGGGAAAGATACCCAGCAGACAGATGGCTGGGTCAAATGGAACTGCTAATCCTAGTTTTTTGAGGTGTCTCCATATTGATTTCCACAGTGGTTGCAAGAAGATGTGGTTTTTCCATAAAATGGAGTACTACTCAGACATAAAGAATGAGAAGCTAGAGTCATTCATAGGAAGATGGATACACATTGAGGCCATACTCTTAAGTTAAATAAATAAGACACACATGTATAAATACCAAATAGTTTCTCTGGTGTGAAAAACTAAAAGTGTAAATAGGATCCAAATGGTATAATTGACAATTTGAAATAGGAAGAAAGGGGCTAAAGGAATAGGGGAAGTGGGGAGGGTAGGGGAAAGGAAATAAGGGAAAAAGAAAACACATGAGAAAAGGAAAAAATGGAAACAAGGTGTTTGTAAATAGGGAAAGGAGGAGGGGGGTGAAGGGAGGGCCAGGGTATGGGGAAAAATGAGAACCAAGATCTGTCATGTAAAGGTACAAGATCCTAATGATGAATGTAACTGTACTGTATACCTAAAAAGTACCAATAAACTCAAAGAAAAAAAAAAAAAGAAAGTCCAATATCTTTTAAAGGGCAGAGGATCTGAACAGACATTTCTCCAAAGAAGATACACAAATGACCAATGAGTACATGAAAAATATATTCCACAGCTTTGGTTACTAGGGAAATGTAAATCAAAAGCAGTATGTGATCACTTCACATCCACTAGGGTGGTTATCACAAAAAACAAACAAACAAAAACAGACAGACACGTTGTTAAGGATGTGGAACAGTCAGAATTCTGGGACATTGCTGATGGAAACCTGAAATGATAAAGTGGCTTTGGAAAACCATTTGTCAGTTCCCCAAAGAATTAAACACAGAGTTATGATAGGACCCAGAAATCCACTCCTAGATACATATCCAAAAATATTGAAAGCCTATGTCCACACAAAAATCTTCACACAAATACTCAACACAGCATAATGGCCCCAGACACAGACGACCCATGTGGTGCATTCATACAAAAGAATGTTGTTCATTCAAAAAGCAGAGTGAAACACCGACACATGCTTCCACAGGAATGAGTCTTGAAAGTATTATACTGGTTAAAAGAATCCAGAAGCAAAGGCCAAGTAGTATTCGATGATATATATAGGAGAGGAAGCGGGAGTGATTGCAAATGAAGGTAGGGTTTCTTTGAGGGTTGATGGAAATTCTCTGCAATTCGGCCATAGCTGTACAACTTTGTGAATATGCTGGAAATCACTGACTTGCATACTTTGTAAAAGGAGTTACTTCATTGCATGTGAATTACACCTTCATCATTAAAATCACAAAGACAATCAAGTCCTGATCACTGAATTATGTACTTTTAGCCCGCTGTGAAACCAAATGAGCAGTGAACACTGACACCAGGTGCCCAGATGCCTGGAGGGAGAGCAAAGTGGATTTTTTTTTCTTTTTTGGATTGAAGCCTGACTTTTCTGATTCCTGTCAAAATGGCAAAGCCAAACAATTTGCACTTTCCTCCCTGCCCCCAACACAACCTTAGAGAAACTATTTGAATAAGAGAAGGAGGAGTGGGGGCACCGCATTTGCCCAGCATGCATGAGGCCCTGGGTTCAATCCCCCACACTGCAATAATAAATAAGAGATAGAAACAGAGATACAGGAGAGGGGGGGGAGGGAGAGACGGCCTTCACAAATGAACACCAATGGGTAGAAGCCCTTGTGAAGACAGTTGCCTTGTCTAGTGAGGATGTGGGAATATCGATGGTTCTGGACTGGGTAGAAGCAGCTGGAGGTGGTGGAGAGAAGCCAGCTGGACGACGGAGCTTAACTTTTCTTACTTCTTCCTCACTGATCTTGCATAATTTATTGTCTCCCCCTCTGCTGCAGAAATCCTAGACCACCGGCATCTGAGGGCGCCTAAATCTTTGCTGGGCTGAGGCGTTGGTGAAAATGGGCATGCACAAACCAGTGGCCTGCTGGCCATCCCGTTTCCATGCTTTGCCTCCAGGTGCCCAAGGCTGGAGGGCCTCAGGCCAGAGAAACTCCTCCTTCCCACGCCTGCCGTCAGCGAGAGTGCAAAATCATACTTCAGCTAGTGTGTTTCAGACTCTGGCCTCAACAATGAGTAATGCAAATGAAAATATAGATGAATCAGAGATTTTATCAAGCTTTTATGAAAAATTATAGACCAAGGACCTTCAAACAGCAAAGAACTGAAAACTACAACAGATACATTCTAGCTATATAGCTATGTGTGTGTAAGGATTCACACTCTCATGTATACCCAGACTACATTTATATCACATATCTTTATCATATTTGAACATATGTGCACATATACAATGAGAAAAGCTCCATATGCCAAAAACCAGAATGTGCCATTTTTTTATGTATATTTTTGAGTACAATTGGAAGGAATATTTTATAAAACAGACTGTGAGCTAGGCCATAAAAGAAACTGCAACACGTTCCAAAGAAGTAGGATCCTGCGCCGTATTGACCGTGTTCTTCAGCTGAATGCAATCAAATGAGAATTTAATAATAAAAGATGACCACAGAAATACTGAATATTTGGCAAACTAACTGGCATGAAGAAGTAATCCACAGGATGTAGAGGAACGAAAGAAGGGAAATGAAGCTCTCCTTAGCACTGACTGGTAATGACAACACCTAACTGCAGGGCTCTCTGCATAGGAGATGCCCACAGTGACTGGCACCATGGCCCAGTGGCACATCCCCGCCTGTCTGAACCTCCTGCTCCAGGGAGGAAACTGCAGGGTTTCTAATGCTGGAGCTGTGAGGAACTCAGATTTTTTTTTTTCCTTTTTATTGAGGTTATTGGTACAATCTAGGTATACAAATACAGTTACATTCATCATTGGGATTCTGTACCTTTACATAATAGGTCTTGATTCTCATTTTTCCCCTTGTCCCTGCCCTCCCTTCACCCCCTCCTCCCCTCCCCATTTACAAACACTTTATTTCCATTTTTTCAGTTTCTCATATTTTTTTCCTCTCCCTTATTACCTTTCCCCCACCCTTCCCACTTTCCCTACACCTTTAGCCCTTTACTTCCTATTT